TGGCGACGATAGTCGCCGTGTCCCATGGACATGTGATCCCCTTTTGTGACCTTCTGACAAGCAAAGTCAATAGGAGAAGCCAGATTCACAAGCATGTGACTCACTTAACAACTGCAGCGATTCATTTAACAAGCGTGGCAAGGAAGGTCATAAAATGGGACAAAATTCATTTAACAAATGTCTTGCTAGCAACAGAAATTTTGGACTCAATTGTGGTCGCAAGACGAGGACTATTTGTACTGAATTCCTAACTCTCGCCATTATTTATTTGCCAAAAAATTACCAGAGGTCAAGAAGAACTGATTTTACGCCCTTTTTTTGCCAGGATTGTTAAGGGAATCCATGTAGTCTGTAAATGAATAACGTGGTTAAGATAGATTAGGAAAAAGTACCACTCCCTATTGCAATGGGCAGTCAAAATCTGCAAGATGGCAGACCCAGCGTTGCAAACGTCCATTCACCATGCAGTGTCCACCTGATTTTGACCTTGGTGGCCACTGACTTTTTAATCCAGGGTGGCTAAATCTGTCTTAAATCTGGATTTGACTCAAAAAAGTAAGGCAAGAATTATAAGTTTAGTAAAGGACTCCAGGCCAGATCTGTCACTGGGGGGAAGCGGGTTTGAAGTTTGCAAACAGATGGAAACACCATATGGGTTGGATGGTATGAAATGGAGGCGGGGGAGGGGGAGAAGGGTGAGGGGGGGGGGGGAGGAGAAAAAACCCTGGGGGGGGGGGGGGGGGGGGGGGGGGGGGGGGGGATGACAAAAAACCCTGATGGAGGGTGGGGGTTTGGTCAGGAGGAGAAGACAGCTGGGACCCACTCATCAGGATTGTAGGAAGTAGCACAGGGCACACCCTTTGCATTACAACTTGTGAGCAGATGGGGGAGAGAAATTTGGATTTGGCTGAGAGGTTTGAACCTGTGTTGAAAGTAGAACCGAGCTTTGGAGTACAACAATGAGGCTGATAGGGATGGTAGCCATCTTGACTTTTTTGACTGCACCTCTGGACAGCCCTGACTGCTGGACTTTCTTTCTTTCTTTCTTTCTTTCTTTCTTTCTTTCTTTCTTTCTTTCTTTCTTTCTTTCTTTCTTTCTTTCTTTCTTTCTTTCTTTCCTTGTTTCTTTGTTTTTTTCCTTTTTCCTTCCTTCCTTCCTTCCTTCCTTCCTTCCTTCCTTCCTTCCTTCCTTCTTCCTTCCTTCCTTCCCTCCTTTCTTTTTTCTTTCTTTCCTTCTTTCTTTCCTTCCTTCCCTCCCCCCTCTTTCTCTCTCCCCCCTCCCTCCCTTCCTCC